TTTACTCCTGGGGAAAGAGCCCCCGCTACCCATTGGATAGGAGGCTAGGTCCAGATCATGTCTGGACGCTGTAGAGAGAAAAAAATCTTGCCACTATCGCGACTCGAACTCCAGCAAGTCACTATACCGACTGTGCTATCCCAGTTCGATTGGGAAGTGAGACAATGATATTAAAATGCAGACCTGTAACAATGCTGTCGCCTTATCTCGGACGCCGCAAGATTTGCCGATGCCGTGTGCTCCACTTTCCTCTGGTTCGAAACATTTCTCGCCGCTATAAATATGGAAACTATGAAGACGGAGATGTGTGATCAGCTTCACGCGCCGGCCGCTTTGCCCGCAAGGAACGACCACCGGCCCCCACTAGATATGTGGTTTCGTGGGCCCCACAGTCGACATGGGCGCTGTAAGACGAAACAAAAACCTCTGCCTCTGACGGGAATCAAACCCCAATTCCAGACAGCCCTCTTTATTAATGCTTATTTAACGACGCTGTCAGTGACTCAGATTCCTTGACGTCCACTGATAGGACAACGGTCAATAATGAACTGGAGACCCGCCGTTGGGCTCACAGTGCCGCCACTGCGCTGACTGAGCTACCCCGGCTCCTAACAGGGACAAGTGAAGGTGTCATTTGAATGCATGGCGCGTCACGAAGGGCACCGCCAGACAAAATGGCGGCAATTCGACTATGCGTCTGGCAGCAGACACAGGGGCAGGGCCACTTGATGGGCAAACGTGCCCGACAGGCAGTGGGGGGGATAACGGTATCCGGGCCCCACAAAACGGAGTGAAATGCTGGTACGATAAACTTGAGGTAACACATTGTCCACAATATTAAAAAGGTAAGGTAAAGGTAAAGTTGTCTCTGTGCTCAACGAATTAAGCACTAGGTCATGAAGGCGTATGGGGGAGTGGTTGTATAGATCCACATTTTCTTGACCTGGGCACTAGATGGAGGTGAGTGGTCACCTTCACGCCCTTGCCGCTTTACTCCCAAAGAAAGAGCCCCCGGTACCCATTGGATAGAAGGTTGGGTGGACCCCAGAGACGGTCTGGACGATTTGGTGAAGAGAAAATTCTTGGCCCTACCGGGACTCGAACTCCAACCCCTCAGTCGTCCAGCCCGTAGCCAGTCCCTATACCTACTGCGCTACCATCGCTCCATGTCCACCATATTAACATGACTATTTCTAACCTTGCATATTCTCTATGCCATATGTTATTCACTGTTCAAATGTCAGTAAACTGTTGAATTATTCTACGATTCGTAATGTTAGGAATAATTGTGAAAGTGATAAACATGAATAATAGAAATGATATTAACATAATAATCTATGTTTGGACTGACCGACTAGCACATGAATGTTTGGTTTCCATAACGACAGGTTTTCCTGAGCAGCTCAGTAACTATGAAGGCCAAGAAACGTGGCGTTACTACAAGGCCTTAAGGAAGACTTCCCTCAGGATGTGTTCACAGCCCAGACACAGACCAGTTGGTGTAGCGACGGGCTGCGGGCAGGACGGCCGGGGTTCGATTCCCACTAGAAACAAAACTTTACTCTACTTCTCAGAGTCCAGACCGACGCTGGGACCCACTCAGCCTCCTACACAATAGGACGTAAAACTGCCCACTCATATCCAAGTCAAGAATGGAGCTATACCTCCAATTCCACATACGCCTTCATGACGTGGTACTCAATTTTTCTTTTATCTACGCTCAGAACACTGGGCCGCCATTTCTACAGCTGTGCCGAACTGCTACACCCATTCATAATTTGGCAAACGGAATTAATTTAACTACACTGCAACATGGCTTCTGTCCGCACACGCTCATTTCCGTTCATGATAAAGAGGGGAGAGGAGGCAGAGAGGAAGCACGTGATATCCCGTTTATTTTTACAGAGGCTATTCTCCTGCTCACAGATCCTAACCTTCCTCAACAAGGCAGTGGGAAAATCACACCAGAAAACTAAAATAGTCGCTGTATCTAGCTAGAGCTGTCAGCTCTGGCCTGAGCATCAAAATGCTTCATGCTTCGCACTCGGTATGCTGCGGGTTCAAATACCGAACCCGAGACAGGGAACTGTTATTGAGGTTCCCATGATTTTCGTCTGGCCTCCACGTACATAATGGGATCCAATAATCATCTTACCAACCGACACTACATAGCCTGAGCTACCTACAGTAATGAAAGATACCGTTTACGAGTACTATATTCTGGAACATGGTGCCGTGTAATCGGTATGCTTACCTGGTTAACTCTTAGACCCTGGAATTGCAGTCAGTTCCTCCACCAGACTACACGGAGTCATGCCTCAGAAGCTAGGTCAAGACAACATAACCACACTCGTGTCTTCACACTCACCACATCCAAGCGCCATTCTAATATTATACTCAGAACCATTTATACCAAGAGTCGAAACGGCTGTCGGTACAGCGACGGGCTGCGGGGCGATTTCCCCAGGGGTAAAACAGCCGAGGCGTGAAGCTGACCACTCACCTTCATCTACTGCCGAGATCGACAATGATGGAGCTATGCCTCCACCGCCCCATGTCTTCATGGCACAGTGCTCAGTGAATTTACCTCTGCCGTTTCTACCAAGTGAGTGTTTCCATCATTTCTCACTTCTCTGTACTTCAGATGTGGAAGGAAGTCCTAAAAACGGTTAAGTTATCCCTGTAACAGGCCGTGGAGGCCCATAGCGTTGTGAGACGTCGAGGCTCCCACATTTACCAGACAATCTGCTCACAGATGGCGGTGAGGTCAGCCTTACGCGCCAGCAACCCTTTACCATCAGGAAAATTCCTGGTAGTTATTTCTGTTAGAGGCTGAGTCCACCCCCGGGCCATAGTGCGGCTGGAAGGATTGTGTGAATAAAAAAAACAATGACCTTATCGGGGACTGAACCAGCGAGTTTCCGGCTTGTAGCACAGCGCTTCAACCAACTACGCTACCGCGTGTCCACGTAAGGAAGAGGTCGTGGTCTAATTTTTAAGAAATCGTCCAGAAAAGTTCTTGTAAGACTACAGAAAACGGAGATCTCATTCAGGACAGTCAGTGTCCCGGCAGGGATTCGAAGCTAGCCCCTCCCGAATACAAGTGCGAAGTGTTGCCGCTTGATCCAACTTTCTCTGCAAGGCGTCTTTTCGTTTCCCCGATGTTTGGCACGTGAAGTTACGGAACACACAGAAAGCGGTGCAGTGAGGCCCGACACCTCAGCTCACTGAATCACTTCCCGCCAACTGTCAAGAAATGTTAAGTGTCCCAGACACAAAACGAAAGTTCAAACCTCAGTGACAGCTCTGCGCTAACGGCTTCGCCTTGTCCTGCGACTCCCCGCGCTGCATTCCTGGGCTCAGAACCGCGTATTTTTCACGCATGAGTCAAAACATGGCTGCATGCCCCTGGCAGCAAAGCTGTGGTAAAAACTGACGTGCTGCACTTACGTAAGCTGACACATTGCTGCACGCCACTGACTAATTTCTACACCGCAATATGATTTAATTATACAGCTGAAATATGACTGCACGCCACTGGCACCACATTCCTATACTGCCGCACGCTCCTGTCAAGTTTCTAAACTGCAGTATACTGTGACACGATGACTGACGAATATAGCCATTGCTAGTCAACGCATAAACACGCAACAAGAGAAGAGCTATTCATAATGTTGTACTTTAGCGTCCTGTTGCACGCTCGCAGCCAAGAAGGAAGGACACATCACAGACACAGTATACACAGAAACGACTCCCATAGTGGACGAACCATACTATACGCGAGTTTGAATTAAGACATATAGATGAATAATCTTAACAAGGTTTAGTATATACAAATTTTATTATAGTTGACAAATAATGTACTTTCTAAATAATTTTATAAAAGACACAAGATGGCAAACAATGTAATAGCTTAGCGTAAATAACGAACCTGAAGATGGCACTATGTTGCCGAAACATGTAGTAAGAAGCGACATATGAAATTGAGTGCACTACAAGACGGCCATTACATACATATCATTGAAGAGAAGAGCTGTTGCAAACAGGGTTTTCTGTGTGGCCCGTGCCGAGGCTATATAATAAGAACACAATCCGGTTAGTAGTGATGAGTAACCCGTGTGGTGGGGGCGACGAATACCTCCGCTGTGACCCTGCGAGTCGTAGGAGGTGACGAAAAGGGAAGCCTAAAATCTGATACAGTAAAATAAGGTCGCGAGTCCCAAGGGACTCGGACCCGAGAAAGACTGCGCTGGAAAGGGCCAGCAGCATATACAAAAGACAGACCCGCCCCCTCGTCAGATAGGGCGCCCCACAAAATCAAGACCGTAACTGTTAATCGGTAATAAATAACTGGTCACAAGCCTCAGATGGTGTTCGACACCAAGACCCACTGACTAACCGTCAGTCACAATGTGACACTGACTTTGATTTTTGTAGCAATAGAACAGGAAGAAGTTTCAATAACACGCTGTATGTGCGACACGTACTCTTGATGAAAAGCCAAGCATATTCATGGGAGGCAAACCCACCCACTCGTCGGAGAGGATGTTACATAGGTGTGACAAAAAAATCTCTGGTCGTGAGCCTAAATGGGCTTGGGACCAAGATGAACCGACTGGCGGTAAACGGCCATTCGTAAAGTAACTGAACTCTCTATCTCAGGAGTTAGTTGCGAGTTAGTCCCCCGTCATCAATCAGTTGCGAGACGGCAGATAGCCGGCAAAGACGTAAGCACGCGAGCTGAAGGATCACCACTGTTGAGAACAGTTATCAGGAAACAACTGGTGGAGATACAGACATTGTGTCTGTTGCAGTATAGTGATTTGTTAAATGTGTAGGTTACCGGTAGTGTTATAGTGCCCATGTCACGACGAGTTACATATTTTCAGTATATCCAACTGCCAATCCAAACCCTGTCTGGTCGCGAGTGACAACATGTAACTAAAACACGGCTGAACGCCACTGACCAGTTGCTAAACTGCCGTATATATTTTACTTACATAAGTAGCATCGGGGGTGACGGTTGCAGTCAACATGTCGGCAAACTGTGACCCATGTTTGGAAAGAAAACACACGTACTACAGCCCAGCTTCAGCACCAGACAACGCCACCTGGGAACGAGCAAAAGAAAAATCACTCTTGTTAGTCTGCAATAACAATGCCATAATGTACAGTTAAGAATGCAGCGGTCCAACGCTGAAAATAAGTGAGTTCACCATTCAAATAGCTTCCAACATGGGCCAGGCATATGCGCACACACACACACACACACACACACACACACACACACACACACACACACACAAAATACTCCGTAGCTCGAGTCAGCAAGCGAACTATACCGACCGAGCGACCGCCGCTTGTCGGCGAAGTTATTGGTAAATTTTGCGGATAGAGGGTGTCGCGTGGTCAGCGCAACGGATCCCAACGGCCGTTAATCTTGGTCTTCTACACCGGAGCCGCTACTTTTCCATTCAAGTAGCTCCTCAATTATCCTCACGAGACTGAGTGGACCCTTCCAGACCCACCACTTCTCAGAAAATCTGGCAGCGCCGGGAATCACACCTGGGACCTCTGGATCTGTAGCCACGAACAGCCACAGAGGCGGTCAGCGAGACACAATGACGTTGCACAGCGCCGGCAAACAGAAGCTGTTGGAAGGTTGCGCAGGTGAGAGTGTGCACCACACTCAGATCCCGATGGAACATAACCAGTCGCACGCTGGATTTTCCGAAGGTCAGTCATAACAAAGATGCTAACGGCAAGAAGGCAAAGGCAGTCATTCAAGTTTCAATGCGATTCTCAAGTCACCTGTGCGACGGGCTACGCGTTTCACGGCACAAAAATTGGGGTTCGATTCTAGGCAGGGGCAAGAGATTTTCTACTGCAGAGTCCAGACCAGCTCTGGGGCCCAGCTTCCTATCCAATGGGCACAGGAGGGATCTTCCTTTCAGGGTATAACAGCCGGGGCGTGAAGTTGGCCATGCCCCTCCATCTAGTACTGTGCTTAAGAAGAAATGGGTTTATACTTCTATCCCCCCCATACTTCTTCATGGCATGGTGCTTACTCAACTAAGAACAGAGATAACTATACCATTAATGTCATTTATTATGGAGAAAAACCGGGTTTCGTTTATATGAAATATTGCAACATTATACATCAACATCAGCATCAGTAATCTGTCAAGACGACAGGTCCACAGTATTTTCCAAAACAGTTCCTCAAATTGATGCGATCTAGAGCTTTCTCCTTCAAATTAAAATATCCTCTTCTGTCCGCAAGGTCATCCAGCATCTTCTTACGTCTTCTTCCTCGTCTTCTGGTCACTTCTATCCGCCCCTCTATCTTTCCTTCAGTAACTTCTTTTAGAAGGCAGTTTCTGCGTAAAACATGACCAATCCAATTAGCCTTCCGTTTTCTTATTTCGTGTAGGATATTCCTCGCTCACTGATTCTAATTAACACTTCTTCATTTCTCACATAATCCGTCCAACTGATCTTCTCCATCCTTCTCGAACACCACATTTCGAAGCTTTCCAGGTGTTTCTGATCTACTGCCCTAAGTGTCCAAGTTTCAGCCCCATACAAGGCAATGCTCCAAATGTAGCATTTCACTAGTTTCTTTCTCAAATTTAAGTCCAATTTGCTGGTAAAAAGATTCTTCTTCTTGCTACATGCAGCTTTTGCCATGGCAATCCTAGGTTTAATTTCACACGCACACCATCCATCATCTGTTAACAACATTATACAGAGTGCGCAAAATTTAGCGGCATAACTGAGATCTGGTACAGCTCACCACTGTCATACTGCAGATGTGAATTACTAGCTGAGGTGTTTCTATTAGCATACATCGACACGTTTAAAACCAAATGTTGGTTAAATCGTACATTTCATCGCATATTTAGTTATATCTTCAAAATTTGTCACTAATAATTTTAACTAATCCATATGTTTTGCAAAGCTGCATCACCATCAAGTGTTCACCACTAAACTGTGTAGATCTCACTTCAAATGTTTGCACAACGCCCTGTAGATACAGCTCATGAAACAGTAAGTCACTACAAAACCCTCATAAGTTGATAAACTTCGCAGAATACATCACTAAAGACACTACAATCACAAATGTATAACATAAAAAGTTGTTACTCCCCGAACAGCCGTACAAAGGACCGCCGTTTAAACCAGAAGACCTGCATGCCGCACACAGGATGGGACAGCGCGCACTGGGCGCAGAACCTGGGAACGACATTACACAAAGATAGCGGGTACAACTGTGTGAACAGAAGGAAGCAGAGGCAGACGGGAGGAGGAAAGAATATATAGAGTGAACAATAACGGGAGACAAGGAAAAGCTAGTAGATAAAAGTGGAAAGGTGTTCCCACAAAGAGGAAGGCAAAGAGAAATGATACATCAGAGAATGAAGGGAAAGAAGGAGAGAGACAGAGAGGGGGAAATGAAAGAAAAGAGGAAAAACAGTAAAGGGACACAAATTTAACAATGGAAGGAAAGAAGGGGCAGAAAATGAGAGAAAACGGGAAAATTACAGAGAAAAGAAAAGATCAGGTCTGGGTGCCCACATCTGTTTCCCATTTACGACAGAATCGATAACCCGCGTACTGCTTCGCAGCGCCAACAGCAGATTAAATCCAAGTTGTCTTCCCGTCTGCTGTCTCGTTCATTTTGTTTACTGACGCTTCACTCCATGGCGCCGTCAACAACTCTCACAATAATGAATTGGAAAGGATATGGAAGGACACTATCGTGGCCTAAATCAAGGTACGAAAATCCATGAAAATCAGAAACCTGAAGTGGCGCAGATCTCCGGGTCAGTTGGTTGGGAACACAAACTTCCTTACCAATGGCGTAACCATTACGTCACAATGCGATGACGCCCCCCTGGAGATAGAATACCGGCTCGTCTTCGATCTGACGATACACTATGGCAATGTGAAACCGCCTGCACGCCACTGATACATGATCTACGAATATCTCTCTCTCTCTCTCTCTATATATATATATATATATCTGGGAGGATCACAAGAGTACTGGTTACTATGACAACGACGTACCGCATATAGATATACTGTAAGTGGAGGTAATTCGGAACGCCATTGAACCCGACGTGTGGATCAGTGGAAGAGAGCGTCAACTGAGGTGGAGTGACCCTCCAATCCTTCAAGACGAGGCCCCATTTCAAAACACGCAGAAATGACAAGAATGTGGCGATGGGTCCCGACGGCGAGGGCCAGCAGCAGGAGCAATTTAATCGAGCCTTCGTTAAGTGAACAGTAAGATTTGTTCACCGATTACTGTAACAACGCGGTACTAGATATGCCACGTGTGAGAATTATCAGACATCTCTGCTTGTAATCTTATCTTGTCGCCCGTCAGCGGAAATGGTAATCAGTGAAACACTTGTCACTGCTGACGTTCTGCAGGGAGCTGATTTCAATATTTCATGTGCTCTCGTGCATAAATAAACGCATAATGAGAAATCACATTATCCCTCACCTGGAACTGGCGCTCTCTGGGGCAGCACTTGGCTGCCTTCCACATTTTGCGTTCGCGAGGTGCCAGGAGCCCAACAGCAAAGCCTCTGTTGCAGACATGTGACGCCATGATGTCTGTGTCAAGTATCCAGGCTATATAGCATTGCCTAATGGGGTGGCATACCGGTAGCTTTTTCACGAGTATTCGGTAGGTGTTACGTTCGAATCCCGGCCGAGTCAGCGGCTATCCTCAGGTCTTCCTCAGCCCCTTCAGGCAAATGAGGGAACAGTATTTCGCCTACGACACGACCGCCTCCTTCCAGATCCATTCCACTCATCACTGATGTGTTATCCTCTCATTCGATGCCGCAGAGATTGAGTTACGACAGCATCGTTAAACAACCCCGCAAAACAGAGCCAGGGACGAGAACGCCAAGTGGTCAGTCTCCAGCCTGTTACCGCGGCGGCCCGATTTCGATCCCAGGTCAGTTGACGTGGGTCTCATGGTGGACAAAGCGGCGCTGGGGAAGGTTTCTTCCGACTGAACCCTCACTAATCCGGTTGAAAGTAATCCGCATCGAAATATGAAAAATTCTGTTCACAGCTGAGTAACTCACTCACTCATTGAGCTGAGCGCTTCTTGAGGAGAGGCCAATTCTGCTGCTACTCAAGAACTTCCCAGCATTTTATGGAACCCGAAGGTTCATTACCGTGTTCACAAGAGCCCTCTCCTGAGCCAGAGCAATCCAATCCATACCATCCCATCCTATATGCTTTAAAATACATTTGAGATTTAGGAGCAAGAGGACTTTCAGGCTGTGTTGAGGGCAGCTAGAGAGACTGAAACCACACAAGAAAATATCCAAGATTGGCTTCAGTTGGATGAAGGAGACCCTGGATTTCAGCTTCTGACAGATGAAGAAATTACTGCCCTGATATTTCTTTATTTATTTTAATCAACACTGCCTATATTACTAAACTTTCTATTTATTTGTTTTCTAAGCCTTTCTGTATTAGCTTTTGCTTCATTAATCCGCATGACTTCTCCCCTGTAATCTGGATTAGCGAGGGTGTACTGCACTTCGCTTTCCCCTCCCAATTCTCATTCCACCCAATGCTCCCGATCTCTCATCTATTATCCAGGGCTGGCATAATGGGCCATTTACGGCCCCAGTACCAAAGGACTTTCATCGAAGCAGTTAATCGGTGAAGTAGTCAACCAGTCGATGACTTCGGGACCTGGCTAGTCAGTCAGTGGGCCGAGCAGTAATTCAGCTACTGAATGAGCCACAGAACTCGCGCCGGCAGTGCTGGGGGTGTACTAGGAACACCGTTACGACAACGACGTCACGGTTATTTTCAACGGAATGTTTTCACTGCAGCCACTACGATCTAGCTTTCAGCTACGGCTCATTTTAACTGCAGTCGCAAGAAAAGACGCGTGTCTCCGTGACCCAGGGCCGTCACATTGGCTTCCACTGTGGTCACATTTCTGAGCCGGGCACGGCGCAGTTCTTCTTCTTCTTCTTCAGAGCTGAGTCCGCGTTAACGTTACGGTTCGTTTCATGGATGTCCGTATTTGCATTTAACGACATCATCAGCGAGTGTGACCATGTGAAGA